TTTAATATTCATCATCTGATAAGATTCTGAATTGCCTTTAAGAAACGGTCTCATTTTTTAGCTACTTGATCTACCAGTTCTTTCACTGGCTTGGAACTTGACAGCCTGGTCAAAGGACAGGCCAGAACTGAAAGCACATTTGCTCACATTCATCCCCTGCTAGCCTCCTCTCCTCTCTATCTGTCACTTTACCAACTGTCTAAGTTTAGATGTTAAGTTCTTTGGGGGCAAGAGCTCTTCTTTTGTTATCTTTTCTTTTTTTTAAAAAAAATATTATTACATTATACATGAGATCTAAACACAAACAAGAAGAACAACAACCAACACAGAAATACAGTGGTACCTTGGGTTACAGAAGCTTTAGGTTACAGATGCTTCAGGTTACAGACGCTTCAGGTTACAGACTCTGATAACCCAGAAATAGTACCTTGGGTTAAGAACTTTGCTTCAGGATGAGAACAGAAATCGCGTGGCTGCGGTGTGGTGGCAGCGGGAGGCCCCATTAGCTAAAGTGGTACCTCAGGTTAAGAACAGTTTCAGGTTAAGAACGGATCTTCTGAATGAATTAAGTTCTTAACCTGAGGTACCACTGTATCAGAAATGACAAAGGGGACCGCATAACCATTCTCTTAATTTGTCATCAAACTTGGAAGGTGTGAGGAGACACCTGTTAGTGGAAATATCACGAGGTCCATATTTCTTGCATTGGTAGCACCAAAGAGTTTACCTGCCACCCTACATAGTTTGGTGCTGAATCTATATTTGAAACCAGAGACTGGGGAAATATTTGCATTGTGGTTAGTTGTACTGGTATTTTTAATTTTTTTAAAAAAAATATTATACTGCTCTTCATCTATAGATCTTAGAGTGGTTCTCAACATAAAATTACAATATAAAAAACACAAAATAATTGGTAACTGATATAAATGATATAGAGTCCCGCCACACATTATAAAAATGTTTTGGATCTTCGAAGCCTTTCTATTCTGGCTTGTCTTTTCTGGAATTGCCAAACTCTACATTTTTACAACTACAAAGTCTTCCGGTTTTTGTTTTTGTTTTGTTAAGGATAACCCAGCTGCTACCAGCAGTCATATTACCAGTTCTTTGCATAGGACCACCCCATATATTTAGAAATGAAAGTTACAGGATTATATGTACGGGAGTCTCTAGGATAGGTGACAACTCCTGTTTAGGCCAGAAATGATTTTACCAGTGAGCACTCCCACCATGTTTCAAGTCAGGTTTAAAGATGAAGCCATAGAAAGGTGGATAATTTAAAGATCTTCCTGTGCCCCTAATTCTCCACCAGTTATCAGTAGCACCTGAAAGCAGACTGAGCAGGTACACAGGTCAACAGATCACAATCTATGGTGAGATGTATGCCAACTTAAAGAGTATTTTTTTTTCTACATTCACATCTCTGTATAAATTAGCATACTAC